TCTACAGTTAGTTTAAAAGCACAGAAATTAGAGCTTTACCAGCGAGCCTGGCTCTGTCCAGACTGTAATGCTTCTCTGTAGTCTGTACATGAGTGAAAAAGACGTGAATGACGTCTCAATTTTTTATTGGAGGAAAAATAGGGGGGAAAAAACACACACATTGCCTTGACGGACAAATCGAAAAATGAACATTAAATCGGTACATTAGACCTGACAAGTTGCTCTTGTTAGAGTCTCACAACACGAGTCTGAGAAGATGTAATGAACAAACACAAAACCTTGTCCTAAGTTTAGCTGTCACATGGAATCATGGAACACAAAGCTCGTCTCAGACTGTTTATAAGGCCCACAGATTTTCAGCAGGGTGTGTTTGGATTTCCACTAAAGCCATTCACTTCTCCAGTTTCTGCTTTTGTCCAGTTTCTGCAATGCAGTTCATCACTTGTATCTTCCTATTTAGGCTATTATTACATGAAAGTAAAAGTTATTTGCTGCATTAGGAAGCCACACCTTCTTAGTGTAGCAATGCACGAGACTTCCCAAAGTTACGCAATGACATGAATGATGTAACGTTACAGTAACCTGGCTGCAAAGGCTCACATGAGCTGTTGAATTTACATTAACTCTGGTATCTGATAAGAGCGGTCTCTTACCCTGCGGTTGGTAAACACAGTATAGCACTCCTTCACCATCACAGCTTTAACTATTTCAGGATCCGCCACCATTAAGGACGGCGTTCGTCCGTCATACAACCTGCACAAACACGACACAAAACAATCTGAGCTGCTGACATTAAACATATTTCATGAAGCATTCACGTCAGAATTAAATACACACAGCTCTTAAATTTTATTTAGAGTTCAGGTGGCTGCAAGGTGACTCAGTGGTGAGCACCGTCGCCTCGCTGCTAGAAGGTTGCCGGTTCGCGTTTGCATGTTCTCCCCGTGCAGCGTGGGTTCTCTCCGGGTTCTCCAGCTTCCTCCCACAAGGTCCAAAAACATGTTGAGGTTAATTGGTGATTCTAAC